GTCAAATATTTCCTTCTTTATGGCTCTGTGAAACGACAGTGATTTCTTCTTCCTCTAAAAGGCACAGATTTATTTTTTTGTCAGTAATTCTCCTATCTTGATGATTATCAGAATTATGAGTAGATATTTGTGAAATTACAATTCCTATGTCTACAAATTCAGAGGTTTTGACTCAGTAGTTTGGAATAGGGCACATAAATCTGTATTAAAAGAAAAAAAAAAGAGACCAGGTAATTACTGATGACCAACTAGTTTCAAAAATCACTCTCACTATGGGCACATCTAATTATTTTTGCATTAATGACATTATTTTATATAACTAACATTTTCATGATGGGGCATTCATATGTCTCCATCAAGGTCCCAATTTATAGAAGTCACTTAAGTATTTACTCCTGAATGAGTTGTGAATTACTTGACAAGGTTTTATTTCATGTTGATTTTTTTTTACAGCCAAAAATACTTATATTATAATATACCATATTTAAATATCACATAGACAGTCTATTCTTTGCCGGACTTGGTGGCTCAGCCTGTAATCCCGCGCCTTTGGGAGGCTGAGGTGAGTGGATTGCCTGAACCCGCAGGTTCAAGACCCACCTGGGCAGCGAGACCTCATCTCTACAATAAATCAAAAAACCAGCCGGGCGTGGTAGCGCATGCCTGTAATTTCGGCTACTTGGAAAGCTGAAACGGAAGGATCGCTGGAGCCCAGCTGGTTGAGGCTGCGGTGGCCGGGAGTGGCCACTTCACTCCAGTCTGGGCGACAGAGTGAGACTTCAACTCAAAAAAAAAAAAAGAGAGTCTATTCTTTGACACTGGGGCCAATTCTATATTACCATATAAAACTGTACAGCTAACATGCCTCTTCCTGTCTCAAAAAACATTCAAACAACCATTAAGTGAACTAACTTTCATGAACTTTAACAGAATTTTATTCTTGCAACCTACTGGTCTCACAAAATATTTTAACAGGTACAAATACTGTGGGTTTCTTCTTGATAAACTCATTTGAAGTCCCAGCTGGAGATACGTATTCTGTATAACTTTGATATAGTGAAAAACCCAGTGTGCAAATTGTGTTCATGAGAAAAGAACCAATGTGAAAATGAATGCTAGTGTCCCAAAGGTTGGATATTTTCAGTCAAATGATAAATACGCTGATTGTAACCATGAGAGTTAAATTGTAAAACCTTAAATTATCATAAGACAGAAAAAAAATAATAAAAAGCCACAAGATTACAAATAGGGAGAAAATGAGAGAGAGAAAAAAAAAAGAAAGAAAGAGTAAAGGGAATGGTGAGTTGAAAGAAAGGAGAAGAAGAAAAAGAAAGGAAATATTTAAGTGTCTTTATGGTCAATATCCATTCACATGGTGAGGATTAGATCTTACAACACTTACATTTTATCCCAACTTGGTAAGTCTTTAAATAAAATAATATAAAATAGTAGGTACAGTGTTGGGTTTTGAAAAGAACCGTGTGAGCTTGAATCTCAGTTTCATTAGCTTAATGACATATCTGCTTCTGAGCATCATTTCTTATGTTATTTTGGTCAGAGGCCCCCAAAATTCCTGAATAATCTCTTTTTCTAGCTACCCTTTCACTCTGTGACTTCCTAGGAAGAAATGATCATATGGAGGTCAAAGACAAGAGGAACTTTTAAAACAACAATGACAAAAGAAAATCAACGTATCACTTTATTATTGGGAGATTAATTTTTTTGCCTGAGATGGCCAAGTTGCTCTGAGTAAAGGGAATGGTACACAGACAAAGGCCAGAAAATAGAAGGGAGAGGAGATGAGCCTGAGAACAACCACTGACAGTACATGTACTATCATTTGAACACCCGATATGTCATTACAGTAACATCAAGGCACTGAGGCACCATTCTCCCTCCAAAAATTACACCAGTGATGACTTTTGATAATTACCAAAGGAATTATCACTTAAAGATTGATGTGTATGTTGAAGAGTGGGTGGCTGAACACCTGCCAAAGAAGGCAAGAAAAGACCCACTTGCTGCCAAGACTCGCTTCCTGTGCCTCTGTCACATCTTATGACTGTGTTGGCTTGTGTCCTAATATTCAAGTGAGCTTAATTCCCAGCAACACTAACATGTAAGGTGTGTAGACACAAACTTGGAATGCTAACATAGAAAATTCAATGCAGATCCGAACAGAGTTTGTGCGAAAAGCAAAGCTCATGTACAGAGCAAGACAGTGGCTAAGTGTCATGTGGGCGGACACGAACTGTGTACACAGATTAGGAGCAACCCTGGTTCTCTAGAATATGGTCGAAAACTGTGAAAAGGCTTCTGAATGGTGGAAAAGGCCTTCATTGAGTATATTCACTCTACAACACAAAAGAGGTCCTTAAGCCCTTACTAAGAGCCAATTTATTTGCAATTTAGACACGCATTTCGGTCAAGTGATTATCAAATTCCCAAACTACAGCATCTAAGAGAAAATGAAAGGTTGAAGTGGAGAGGAGCTCTTACAAGAAAAAACAAAAATTACAATCAACAATAAAATTACATAAATACTCTAAAAATCTAGCAAAATAAAATGCAATGTAAGAAGTCTGCATCTATTTATTTAAGATACTAAAAGTACGATATAACTCTTTGTTTAAGAACTCTTTAAATAATCAGCGTGTTGACCTTAAGTCATGACAAATAAAACCTAACTATGTATGTTTGTATGTTACAGCTCAATCACATATAAAAATATATATAAGATAGAAAGTGAGATCAATCTCAATTCAACCATAAAGACCCAACCTGAAATTAAAATTGCAATATTAAATACAGAACTATAAAAAGTATTAATCACAAGGGATTTTTAAACATAAATATTACCTAAGATTTTATCCTCTAAAAAGGCTTTAATATGTTAGCTTCCAAAAATGTAAAAAATCCCTTCCAATGCCTTCTCTTCTCTGAGATACTTAAAGTCCCTGTCTCACTATTATTACCCTGTGTAATTTTAAATAATGTGATATATTGAGCAGTTATGATATATTGGGTAAAATACCACCTTACGTATATTTCTTTTCTTATATATCACAAGAACCTCATAAAGAAGGAATTATTAGAGCTCACAATTTATGAGCTCTAATATGAGATGAGAAATATCCTTCATTTCTTTACTGAGAACTAACTCACCATCATAAAATAGTGGAAAGGATAGGTGATTTGTAATAAAATCTGGTTTGAGTTTATTTTGCATTTTCCCGGCTTTGCAACCTTAATTAAATCACTTGTAAAAATAGCAGTTGCAAAATAATATAACCCATAGAGTGATTAAAAAAGGAAATGTGTTCTCTACAGTAAAATAAACAATACAAAGGCTTTATACTTATTTAATTAATTAATATTCTGTCTGACTTCACAAAGAATCTAAAATGGGAGAATGTGATAGGGGATTTTTTTTTAAAAGACATTTGGATGGAATGAAGAAAAAAAGATATAATAGAGGGATGGAGCGAGAATGAAGGGAGTGGAATGAAGAAAAAAAAGATTAAGTACAGGGATAAAGTGAGAATGAAGGGAGTGGGGAGAAAAAAAAACAAAGGCAAGCTTCACAGAAGGAATAAAGGTTGTGAAATAAGCTAAATCAGTTAATTAAATCAAATTACTAGCAAAGTAATAATATTAACCAGCTTACTCCATTTTGTTTAAAACTTTCATCTTAGTTACCTGCCTGACCTAAGAATCAATACCTACGTGTGATTACAGTAACGTTCCCATGACCACAGACCCCCAGCTTTGTCTCCTTTGGGTAGGTTATGCTGACCGTTGCCTGTCGATGGTTATAGAACTCCTTTGCCATAAGTTCCATGTGATTGTATGCTTTGTTAACCGAAATCAAATGTTACGCTTTGACATTTTCATAGTTTGTTCTTATATTCTGTTCATGACCTAACCAAGGTAACTCCATTGTATACTGATTCTTCTTCTTTCTCTCTTTAACTACCTTAAACTATATCTTAATGACAGAATTCCAGGGATGTTCTGGGCACTGGTTATACCTACCTGACATGAAATTAATCAAAGCTCCCTAACAATCGAAGTTCCCATTTTGGTTGCCAAGTCGTTAGTTAATAGTTGCTATGGTCACTAAGTTGCTATGTAGCCAATGCCGCAAATTTTACCTCTAAAAGCTTGTCACAAACTGCACCAATTTGTCAAGAGTTTTCGTTCCTACTCTTGACCCACATATTTAATAAATTCATAAATTAATTAAACTCAACTTGCTGGTATAGCTTCTTCTCGCTTACTCGGTCGTAACAGTTGAATTATTAGTATGAATGAGAAGGGCACAACTTCCTCTTTCCGACACACATCCCATACACCATCCCCAAATTCCCCATTTCCCGGCAGAAAGGGTGTTTTCCATGGATCCTGATCCTGTCTACTCTTTGTTTTTGGAGATTCCAAGCAGTCATCTAAGCATAAAACATGAAGAGCAGCTAAGATAAAAAGGAAAGGGAAAGAGATATGAAAAGAGCTAGAACTGCTGAGTGCTGAGAATACTTTTGTGGAAATCAAGGGTGAAGGATTTAGATATGAGGAGGGCCAGCCCTCCTGCAGGAGTACCATAAGGAAGGGAGTTGGGGGGCAAAATGACTTTTAAGAAAAACTGGGCTTGAGGTGAGTTCCCATTAAGAGTTCCCCTTAATGAAGTGCGAGAGATAGATTAAAAAATATATAAATAAACATTTTATTTTTCACTGTTGGATTATATTTTAATTTAATTTTATATTCAAGGTGAGAATGTGAATATAAGGGAGAGTAATGTCAGCGAGATGGCAGAACAGGAAGTCTCTGGTGTTCCTTCCTTCAGTGAAGACACCGATTAAACAATCCATGGACTGATTCCTTTAGTAAGAAATCATCAACAACAAGAACAACAAAAGCATTTAAGAGTCTTCTGAAATCCAGGCAAGCACAAATCAGCCACATCAGAGTTGGTAGGAAAAGTTGTGGCATTTACTCACCATAGACTCTCCCTCAGCATATCACATGGGATTCAGAGAAAACTCCCAGCTCCCAGCTTCTGCCTGGAGAGGAAAAGAGAAGACTGAATCATACGTCCAATGCTCAGACTTTTTAGTTAACTGCCCCAAAGACTGGTTTCTCTCTTGCCTGTATCTAAGTACTGACAGAAACACACACACACACACACACACACACACACACACACACACACACACACACAATCAAATTGAGGATCACTGATAACAAAGGCAATAGTTTATAACTTTTTCAGCTCCTAGATAAAAGACCAGCAAATCTTTTAAACTGGAAATTTATACACATACATCCAGTAGTGACACATCCACAAAAATTGTTTGGGAGACTCCCAGAATCTCCAGCCAGACTAAATGATGCAGTTCTTTCCCTTTATACAGCTGGTCTGTAAACACTGGGAGAGATGGTTGTTTTTTTAAAAGCATGACACCAACATAAAGTCACAGGAAATAAAAAGAAGCAGAGAAACATATCCCAATGAAGAAATAGTAAAATCTCCAGAAATTAATCATAAAAACCAAGAGGTATGCAAATTATATGGCAGCTAATTCAAAATAGCCACTATAAAGATACTTCACAAGCTCGAAAAATTGTACGTGAGAAAAATAAGAATGTCGTTAAAGAGCTTGAAAATATAACCCTCAACATTTTAGAGCTGAATAATACAAATACTGAAGCAAAAAAATTATCTGGAGGGATTTAACAGCAAACACAATCAAACAGAAAAAATAACTAGCATACTCAAGTACAGATCAATTGAAATTATCTAGTCAGAATAACAAAAAAAAGAAGAGGAGGAAGAAGAAGAAGAAGAAGAAGAAGAAGAAGAAGAAGAAGAAGAAGAAGAAGAAGAAAAAGAAGAAGAGCAACAACAGAAGAATTAGGACAAAAGAATGAAGAAAGCCTAAGGGACTTACGGGGCACAATCAAGTAGACCAATATTCGCATTATGAGAGTCCTAAAGAAAGCAAAGAGAAGAAAGCTACTTAAAAAAAAATGACCAAAAACTTTTCAAATTTGGAAAATAAAATGGACATCCAGATTCACGAAGTCCAGTGGCTTCCAACGAGTATCAATTCAAAGATGTGAAGGAACACATTGTAATAAAAAGTTAATAGTCAAAGATGAGGAGAAAATTTTAAATGAAGCAAGAAGAGAGTGACTTGTTACTTTCATAGGCAACTTCTTATTCATGGGACTTCTCATAAGACTATCAGTGGATTTCTCAGAGGAAACTTTGCAGGCTAGAAGGAAGCAGAATGATGTATTCAAAGTACTGGAAGTAGAATACAGCTAAGCAAACATGCTACACTCTGGCAAACAGTCTTTCACAAACGAAGAAAAAATAAAGACTTTTCCAGATAAACAAAAGCTGATGGAGTTCATCATCACTCGACTTGCCTTCCAATAAATGCTAAAGAAGGCTCTTTAAATTGAAATAAAAAATTACTGGACAACAACACACAAACATAGAAAGCCATAAAGCTTTCCCATAAAGGCAAATATATAAAAGAATAGAGAGTACCAATACTGTAATGGTGGTACATAAATAACTTTTGGTGTCAAAATTAAAAGACAAAGGTATAAGCATTAACTGTAACAATAAAACCTTAATAAATAAACTCTATAAAAAGATGTAACTTGTGATGTCAATAACATAAACAGCTGAGGAAGTGGTATAAGGGTAGAGTGTTTGTATACAATTAAGGTTAAGTTATCCTCACCAGCTTAAAATAGATTGTTATATTCACAGTAACAAGAACATGGAACCAACTATGCTGCCCATCAGAAGAGGACTGGATAAAAAAAATGTGGCACATATACACAATGGAATGTCATGCAGTCATAAAGAAGAACAAAATCATGAATTTGACAGCAACTTGGATGAACTTAGAGTCTATAATACTGAGTGATCTCTCACAGAAACAAAGAAATGATTATCACATGTTCTCACTCTTAAGCAGACCTTGAACAATCCTCATAATACTATAAGAAAAGGATTGACAGTAGCAGGAAACTGTAGGGAGTGTGGGGAGTGGGGAGATGGAATTGGCAGTAGTGGGGAAGGGGGAGCACACCTCATCCACAAGAGCACCTGCATAATGAACATTTGCATACCTAACCCTGAAGTGTATACCATGTCTTTAAAATAAAAAAAAAACTTAAAAACTCAAAAAACATTGTTATTATTATAAGATCTGCCGTGTAAGCCCCAAAGTACTCACAAAGATTACATATGAAAGACACACACAATAAAATGAAAAAGGAATCAAAGCATCAAAAAGATCAATGAAACACAAAGGAAGATAACAAGAGAAAAAAGGAGGAACAGAAAGCTACAGTATAGACAGAAAACAACAAATGGCAATAGGAAGTCCTTCCCTATCGTAATTACTTTAAATGTAAATTTATTAACACCTCATTCAAAAGTCATAGAGTAGATGAATGGTTTTTTCTAAAAAGATAAAAATAGAAAATGAAAAAAAAAGAAGGAAAAGAATATCCGACTACATGCTGTCTACAAGAGACTCATTTTAGATTTAATGACTTGCATAATAAAAAAAGTTTGGTATATTTTGAGAATTACCAAAATGTGACACAGAGACACAAAGTAAGCACCTGCTGTTGGAAAAATGATGCAGACAGTCTTGCTTTCTGCAGAGCTACCACAAACCTTCAATATGTAGAAACTAAGATTTACAAGGAGCTCAAATGTGCTGAAAGGAAAAATGCAAACAGCCCCATTAAAAAGTGGGCAAAAGACATGAATAGACACTTCTCAAAAGAAGATATACAGGCACCCAATAGACACATGGAAAAGTGCTCAGCCTCACATCATCATCAGAGAAATGCAAATCAAAACCACATTGAGATACCACCTAACCCCAGTAAGAACGGCCATCATTCATAAAACAAACAACAGATTCTGGTGAGGATGTGGAGAAAAAGGAACGCTTTTACACTGCTGGTGGGAATACAAACTAATACAGCCTCTCTGGAATACAGTGTGGTGGTTTCTGAAAGAACTAGAAATTGACCTTCCATATGACCCAGCAATTTCCCTATTGGGAATATACCTGGAAGAACTCAAATCATTCTACAAAAAAGATACCTGCACAATTGTGTTTGTTGCAGCTCTCTTCACAATAGCAGAAACATGGAACTAACCATGCTGCCCATCGAAGCTGGACTGGATTTTTTAAAATGTGGTACATGTACACAATGAAATATTATGCAGCCATAAACAAGGACAAGCATATGGACTTCGCAGCAACTCAGATGGATTTAGAGTCGATCATACTCAGTGATCTGTCACAGAAACAAAGAACAGAGTACCATATGCTCTCACTCATAAGCGAACCTAGGACAATTATAATACTATAAGAAAGGGATGGGCAGTAGTGGGAAACTGTCAAGGGAAGGGAGTGGGATGGGCAGCTAAGGGAAACTGCTAGGGGAGGGAGAGACACACCTCATCAACAAAGATACCTGCATAATTAACTTTTGTATACCTAACCCTGAATTGTGCCCCATATCTTTATAATAAAAATAGATAAATAAATAAAATGGGGACAGAGACAAAAAATATGAGGTGTGTTTATAGCTGATAGAGTCTGATTAGTGCAGAGAACTTTCTGGTTCTAGATAGTATAGTTCTGTTAACATTGCCTAATTTATCAATCTATAAGTCTATCTATTTACTTAACTTCTCAGTAGATCAGTGTTTGTTGTTAACTTTGTGACCCAGTTTGTAGACATAGTATTCCAACCACCTGAACGCCATTTCTAATCCTTTTACAAAATAAAGCTTGTGTTCATTGCTTCTGACCACTAACATCGTAGATTTCAGGTAGGTAATGTGTTTCCTTTTCTCCATCCCAATGGTCATCACAGACTTTTCCTCATCAATATTTACCATATGATCCTACTCTCTATTTGTTTAAAATAAACAAATCCCAACAGACATTAGTCTTCCTTTCTCAGCAGAGTGAAGTACATTCACAGCATTAAATAAATCTACTACATTGGAATTTTAATTTTTAAATCTACTACAAATCTACTACATTGGAATTTTAATTTCTGTATACATTTTAATTTTGATGACTGACAGAACCAGTTTAAACTGACTTTAATTGAGAACTTTCAAAAATTACATTACAAATTGCAAATAGCCACCTGCTATGCAAGAGAATCTACATTCTCTCTAAATGTGAAAATTTGAAATTGTTGATTTCAATGGGTCCCAGGGGCATTCTGGATATTTATTAGGGAATTTGGGGGTTGTCACAATGAACGTTGGGTACACAGGTGGCCAGCCTGACACACATTGGTGAAGAAAAATCTGTTTATCGTAATCTAAAGCTGGAATCAATTGTGTTTTACATATAAAGCAAAATATTTGTGCAAGCTTTAAATATGCATGGGCTTTTCCCAGGAATGAAGCCACTAAAGGGTCAAGGGAAGACTGTATTCTGTTTTGTTCAGACCTTTACCAATAGCTCATCATCATTTTGAGAGATTACACGCCCCTGCACTTGTTCTAAGGCCCTGTGACTGTGAACTGCATTGGCAGTTGTCTCACCCCAGCAACTCTCCATCTAGGTGAAGGTATGTGAGTGCCCTATTATGTTTCTACTGTGTAGTTCAGTCATTTATCATGGCAATGTGTATGATAAAAAATTGCTTTGCTTTTATTTCTCCTTTTATTACAGATCGATGTCTATATTTGTTTCTAATTATTACTAGATGACATTATGCAATTTATTTTAAGACAACAAAGAAAGGGTGTTGCCAAATACTTGTGATGTAAAGGGGATTTCAAGGGGGTTTCACGAGGCCCGTGACCCTGTAGTCTTCATTGTGTCACAGCTGTCCTGAGATCTGGAGTTTGTTCAAACTTATCCTATTAGCTTAGTCAAGGAACAGCTCATCAACCCAACTCTTGGCTTATGTAAGTTATTGCCTAGGTTGAATTCAATGGGTTTGAGCCATATCTCTAAACCCAGTTCCTTACCTCGAATCTTAATTC